GTAAGATCTCTTTAAGAATTCCAAATTTGTTTCATTAATATTTTTCTCACGATGAATGTTGGGCAATAAGAATAAAAAAGTTGGAATCCTTATTCTCTACCCCATCAATCAAATAACAGAACTTTCTGGTAGCTTAATTTCTCATTACGGATTCCAGTTTTTTTCTCTTATGCCAACATATTAAGTAGAAGAAATATATATATTCGTTCGAACAACATTTTCTCTTCCACCCAATCTGTTGGGCATAAGAAAAAAGTTGGAACCATTCACTTCTTATCTCTACCAAAATTAGTCATATATTCGGAAAAAACAAGATTTTCTGCTAACTTAACTTGATGAACAGAAGAAAAGTTTGAATCTTTTGTTTGCTTTTAAGAAGTGAGATGATTTTTCAGTATATTAGAAGAAGAGAAATGTACCAAAGAGAGAGATAATTTTGCAGAGAAGAAAGAAACAACTCCGCAAATAAGAAAATCCCTCTCATAATGGAGTTGATATATGCCTCCAGAACAAAGCTAACAAGAATGGATCTTGCTGCTGAAAGAAGAGGCATCTTTCTTCTATCAAAAAAAATAAAAAACCCTAATTATCTTAAGCTATCATCAATCATATAAATAAATTCCTAGAATCCAAATCAAGAATTGAGCAAACACGCTTATCATGATGATATCTGATTAGGGAATAGCATTGGTATATATAGGAGGCAGCCTCAAGTTTTCTGCTTCAAAAAACCCTAATATCTCTTTAGGTTTAACGTTTTATGGGCCATAATGGGCCTTCTTCACAAAGCCCAGTAAAATTATAAGCCTGTTTATATACATCTGAACTCTGAAGTAATGACGGCCCTGTTCTTTTCGCGTTAGCGATGGCGATCACAAATTACACGTCTATCAAAAGCAAACGAATCGATAGAAAATTGAAAAAACTGTGGCTGCGACTATTTTTCGGTGTTGTTGGTGTCGCTGTTTTTCACAGCGATAAGAGAAATGATCGCGCGACTAAATTTCATGGTGTTGTTGTGTTACTCTCCACATACTTGCGGGAGAAGTAACCTACATTTTATAATCGCCGTCACCGATTCTGATATTGTGAAAAACAGAAATGCGTTAGAGAAACATTATTTTTAATCATATAACGAAACTGGAATCTAAAATGTAAAATCCTTAACAAAATCTTAAAGCAGACGATCACGAGTGGGGCAACGATTTAATAACACCATTAAGGTTAGTGTGTTCTGTTTTGGAATTGCCCACTTTAAACCAGATAATCCGATTCCATCTCACTTGTGGTCTTTGATCTCTTATCTCATTGTAGATCAAGCTTGAGCAGAAGCTATTCCTTTCCAAACCACCACGAACTGAGGAGTTCTAGGCTTCTAGCACCACATTCCCCTTCTCCAAAGAGAAACAAGAGTCGCACAAGAAAATATTAAAATAACAAGTCATTAAGAATCCTTGAGATCCCATGATCCAATGAAGTAGCCTCCAGATCCAGGCAAGCAGAACATGTCATCTTTCTTCGAAAACATGACACGCGAGGAGTAGAAACATTGGTTCTTGATTCTGATGTTGGTCCACTCGGGATTGCTCTGAGCCGGTCTGCAAAAGCTTAGCTGAGGACCCAAGAACTTGACAGCAACGACACAATCCTCATCCTCTGGAGAAGAAGAGGAAATTGAAACATTGGTCACGACCTGAGTTTGGCAACCAGGCAGAGTTACAAAAGGAGGCAAGGGAATGCGTTTTGGGTCGGAATCAGATGCGAACGGGTTTAGATCGTCTTGGAGACGTAGAATTCCGTCTTCCTTCAAAGTACCAACCCATCCATAGGATGCTCCGATCGTTATTATTGCATCGTCATCCACCAACTCACGATGCACCTTGTTTTCCAAAACAGTGTCCTTAGCTTCATTAGCCTTGTGAATTTGAAGTATTCGGAGGTCCTCCTCTCCACAAGGCAAAGCGCGCACGACGTAACAAGGAGTGAATTGAGAGGAAGATGAGAAGCCATTAGAGAATACAAGACCATGACCAAGAGAAGATCTCACCGACGAAGAGAAGGAGGGTTTCAAGAACCGACGAAGAAGCAGAGACATGTATAAATTATGCCAAAATCCTACAAAACCCCTAATTGGAGAATTGCTAAGCTTCTTGCCCACTGTATATATAAGCAGAGAGAGATATTTAATTTTGTTTTCCATCATGATAATCTTGAATAGTATTTACATATCATGATATGTATTTCATTTTTTATACATTTTATCTTGATAAACAATATATTGTATGCGTGGATTTTTCTTATATTTTACATTGAAACTATTGTTTTCCTATGTGGACATATGAAACTATTTGTACACAAATTAGTTAATTTATAGTGCTAATTACTTAGAAACATATAAATTGCGTCTTATCACAAATGTTTTGTAAAGTGATATCATAATTTAGTTTATGCTGTCAATCAAAATCGTAGACATTAACGATAAAGAGCATTGTTTTTTATATTTTAACTTCGATAGAAAGCCGAGACAAACATTCAAAATAATATAAAACTAGATTTTGGCCCACGCTTTCTAATTGATTGTAGACGTGTATTATAATATTTATAAACGTACAAAATGATATGTATTATGCATAAATGTAATAAAGTTAAATTTTGATCAAACATATTTTGATGTCATATGTTTTGATCAACTTTGCATAAACATATTAAAAATATTAAAACTAATACAAATGTTATTTATTTTTATTTATTTGAAGTGTAAAATTAATTTTTATTATCTGTGTAAATAGAGCATGCGATAAATCAAATGAATTTTTAGATTTATATGAATATGTCGGACATAACAAACGAAAAATATATGTTTTCCAATAATAAAATGTAATTTTTTTTTGTAAATGTAGTTATCATCTACAGATAAATAATGTTGTTACAAATATAATAATGAAAAACTTTTTAATATATCTAACTTTTAAAAAAAAGATGATATGGTATGTCTAAATATTACATATAGCTAAACTTAAATCTGTAAAACATGTATTAATAAATTTATTTTAGAAAATTAATAAAAACATGTAGATTTCCACTATGGCATATAGTTTTAATAAAAATATTTTCATTGGTTAATTTTAATGACATGTTCTTTAAAAACCTCATTGAATAATACATATGATTTTTTCACCAAATATCTACTCAACTAATATATAGAGGATTAGTGACACTTTTGAAAAAAAAATCTAAATGATGATATTTTTGAAAAGTGGCATCTCAAAAATGGTATTTCTCAAAATTTATCTATATTTAATCAAAATGTCATGCAAATTAATTTTTATAAGATAAAATATGAGAGATATCATCTTCACACTTGTTGTAAAAACATATTTTTGTTTGAATATTAATTTTACTCATTCGAAAAAAACACATGCAAATCCTTCTTCAGTTCGCATACTTATCTACATAAGATTTCATATTTTGGACACAAAGAGTCAAAGGTAAAAGCGAAGGTGAGACAGACATTTGCGTCCATACGCCGCAGCTCTGCTGCTTGGAACCGGAAATGGGCGGAGAAGAAAAAGGAGGAAGCCATAGCCGCTCAAGCCGCTAGAAAACAGAAATAGCTAAGACATATCGAATCGGAGAAAGCGGAGCAAGCCAAACTCAGGGAGAAATAGCTAAGAAAATCCGCGACGACGGAACCAGTCACGACGATGGAACCAACTAAAATCACTCTTTCGTTCTCCACCGAAATCACTCTTCCGATTGCCACCGAAATCACTCCTCCGTTCTCCACCGAAATCACTCATCCGGTTTCCACAGAAACAGAAATCACACCGGAGCCAGCGAAGATGACGAATCAAGTAGTTTAACCTAAGTTCGTCGGCTTCGTGGAGAGATCCTTCTAATCGTCGTTATAGTTTCTTCCTTCCACCTTTACTGCTTTTTGTGTGTTCTGAGATCTCTTGGATTACTTCCTTGGTGTACCGAAGTAATCACAGTAAAAACAAGGCGAAGCTCCGATTCTTCTTAAGGTTTTGGTGTTTTTGGTAATCACAGTAACAGAAAAAATGCTCGGACTCGGAAAAAACAAGGCGAAGCTCCGATTGAGATTCTCCGCGGCTTTGGGTGGGGTTAGGTCTTATGCAAAAAAATGGAGTCCAAAGATAGT